TGCAGCATGTGATGCTGCTGCCAGGGGCTTGTGAGTAGTGGCACCTGCCAACAGAAGCATCCATCATATCACAGTGGGGCAGAAGAGCACAGAGTTTGGATTGGAGCAGGTCCAAGGTGCTGCCCTGGCAGCATCAGCTCCAGCCCCACAGAGCTGGATTCTTCTCTTCCTCCTTGGAGTGGAGCAGCTTGCTGCTTTGCTGGATCCATGTATGCATGGAAATCAGTTGCCTTCCCCATGCATGTTCTCAGCAGAACAGCACTGTGAGGCTGGCATCATGTGTCCCAGGACTGGGGTTCCAGAACATAAGAGATCACCAGGTTGGGGGGGTGAGGGCAGCTAGAAAGGGTTGCCAGCAGTGTTGGGGGGAGGCTGCCTTGAGTTGGGTGGGAAGAAGAGCCCTGTGCAGAGATTTGTTCCGCTATCCATGAGTGGTCCCTGGATATCTGCAGATAGGCTGGACTCTACCCAACTCTCCACTGGCATCCAGACAGCAGCTATACAGTCCAAAATATTTTGAAACACATGGACATGGTTCAATACTTTGATTTTAAAAAGTGTAGGCATCAGAGGCTGTTTACTTTGACTATTAAGAGCTATATTTTATATTTCTGCAAAAACTAGTTGCATGTATATCAATCCAAGAATGGCTGACTCCATAAATCCTAACAGGTTACTGAAAGCTAGCTTCCAAGTGTTGAGAAGAGTACATTTAAACTAGTAAGGAAGATGCCAGGACTATAACCATTTTGTATTGGTGACTGCCAAGCTATTAGAAGCTACACCTTTCTTTACAGTATCTGGGAGAGCTGAGTCTAATTGATGCTGACCCATACCTGAAATACTTGCCATCACTTATTGCCGCTGCAGCATTTCAACTAGCAAGATATACAATTACCGGACAAAACTGGGTAGGTAGAACAAGTACCTTTAGAAAAGTCTCCATGAACTGTAAGTAAAGCAAATAGCACACGATCAACCCCGTATAGCTAGCAATACATCATCTTATATAAAACAGTATGGAATGTTGCATAGTCTTTCTTCAATTTATCCTTGGTTCAGAAAACTCAAATGGCTTTCCCAGTAATGATCCTGGAAAAGGTAGAGGCAAAAGGGAGGAAGAGGATACTGGATATACCATTAGATGGTGTGTTTAAATTTTTTTTCTAAAAAGGTACTTATAAAGCAGTCACTATTAGGAACTTGCTGGTTTTGCAATCTAATCAAAGGATGGGTTTAGTAACCAACTGCCATGTTTTAGAGCTTACAGCAGTTAAGGTGGTGATGAATAGGATGTTTGTGTACTTGCTAAAGAGCAGGTGAAAGTATACACTGGAAGATTACATAAGCTAGCTAAAGATTCTTTAGCAGTTTCAGCTAGATTAGGTTTTATAAAACCTAAGAGGATTTAAAAACACAAATGGCTATAGGTTCTTTAGTCCAGTACCCTTGAGACCTAGCTGGTGCCAAACCAGAGAATTTGCTGAATCACAGATGAATATTATCTAGCAGCATTACCAACACTTGAGTTGCTTACTGGGCTCTTAGAAGATATTTAGGGGTAAATTAGAGCTGAACACCAAGCTAGGACTGGTGGCTGTAACAAGTTTTATGTACAGTTGGAAACTTGGCCTACACCCATGATAAGTAGACAGATGACTAAGTAAAATTGTGCCAGACCATGAATGTTGCTGGATCAGAGTGCCAGACTAGAGAGGTTGAACCTGTACTTGGAGAAAAATCATGTGCTCTGCTAGTACCCTTTCTACTTGCAGGTGGAGACATGGAATACCCAATCTAGAATAGCATTAAGTGTAGCTGTTTGTCTTGCATATTCAAAGCATGGGAATACTGCTTCAAAGTAACTTATTAGTAGGCCATTTTCTCCATGTGACCAAGTTGTCTTCCCTTTCCTCAGCCTGAATCACTGTCCAAATTGACAGGATACACCCTTGAAAGCCTTAAACCTTGTCTCATGGACCTCCACAAGACCTACCTCAGAGCAGCACAACACTCACAACAGTCTATAAGAGAGAAATATAAAAGTACAAAGTAAGTACTCAATTGCATTTACCCACTACATACTAAGGATGTTAAATGTGGCTAATTGAATTTCCATCTAGTCAATAGGCACTTCTGCATTCCTCCTTTGAAATGTACAAGAGTCCCTGGTGGAAGTCCTGCTGACTTCAGGCTGCCCAAGGTATGCCTGCTTTGAAATGCAGGGACTCTTGTGCATTTCAAAGCCATGGAGCCCAGGGTCAGCTGGGGATTCCCTGAGTTCTGCATGGCACTTCCCTGGAGGTGGCATTTTAAAGGGGCAGCTACCTTGGAGCCCGGGGCCAGCTGGAGATTCACCAGCTGACTCCGGGCTCCAGGGCTGCCCTTTAGAATGCTGCCTTCGCATGATTCGAAAGGGGCAGCGGCTGCCCCCCCCCCCCCAAAAAAAAACTACTCAAAAGACTATTTGATGCGCAAATGCACATTGGATAGTCAACTAGTCTTTAACATCCCTACTAAATACTCTAGCATTAAGCTAAGCAGCCTAGCAAGAGTAGGCAGCTGTGGATTTTCCATGCACTCAATCCTGGAAGCAGCAGCATCTTTTTATTTTTTTAAGAGGTGAGGGAGGAGGCACTGTCTGATCAGAGCTAATACAACAGATGTGGTGTCTTGACTTACAAATCAAGACATTCTCAATCCAGAAACTGAGCCCGACTGCAGGAATTGCTATTGAACTTCACCAAGCTTGCTATAAAGAGGGACCATTATGTCAGTCTTGGCCTAAACCCACTGAAGTCTTTAAAAAATCCTTACTACAAGATTAGTTTTTAAACATTTAACATGTTCTATCCTGTCAGACAACTGCTAGTTTGCTAACTATTATTAACGTTGTGATCCATCTTCATATTGTAATGTGACTACATCTGACATCCTTGTCTCCCTCAGGTACCATGGAGTATCACTCATTGATCCACCAGAGACACTAAATTTATCATAACAATCAAGAGACTTAAAGAAACGTGTATTATATTTGCAAGCAAATGATGTACAGTTTTAACTCTGGTCAATGTTTTAGATTTCTTACAATCATTTCAGAATCCCACCATGTGTGGTGTAACTTGAAATTATGAAGTTTGTTAGTTTTATATGGTTTTAATATAAATCTTTTTGTACATGCAATCTTGTTCTAAATTTAGCTGGAGCTTGTTTTTATAAAGCAATTCTTGTCAAGTCTAGAATTAACCATGAAGGTAAGCTGTTAATGTTTGTTTCAAAACTGTCAGATTAAGGAGCAGTGCGTTCAAGTTGGGACTCTTAACATTGGAGTAATAAAGACAAGGATGTAGCTCTACTTGTGCTGAACCAGTTATGAAGTTGACACCTGATAGTAGCACCTTGTGTTGACAGTTAATTTCAGCTGAATGTAGATCAAATCTTTGGCTTTAATGGTCATACTGCTAGAACTAATATATAAACCCCTTGGAAGACATTTCACTTTCAGTATGGGAAAATGTATAGGTGACTTGCTTCAAAAGCAGGCTCTTAAATCTAGTGGTCAAACTATCATAAGCAGTCTTCCAAGTGGCAATCAGCTAGAACTAAAACTACTTAAGTATCTTTTTCTGTGTAGCAACAGAAAATAGCCACAAGTTGGAAGCCACTTCTAGTCTACATGCACAATTGATGCTAATACAGGTTCACGCAGTGGTCTATAATTTGGCTTTTTGTGACAGTCTCCCTCTAGTTAAACCTCCATTTACTACAGCTGTGCCTCTACCTCCATCCTGCGAGGAAAGCAAACAGCAGGGAACATGACCAATGGCATTATTCCTCTCTCCTTCCATTTGTTGAGAGAATAATATCCATCACGGCCTCCTGCATGTTATGATTAAGCTATGGTGATATTAAGTTCAGAACAGCCCCATTTGCAAGGGCTTGTATGCAGCTTGTAATGGAGCATTACCTTTTTAATTGTTAACAATGGTAACTGAAATTTTAGTTGACTCAAACTGACCCTCTGCCTGTGAACTGTCAGCTTGTACTAACTTTGCTCAAGATGTACTGTGCTTAAAGTGTAAAGTGGGAACAGGACTGAAAAGGAAATCATCTGCAAGTTTGGCAAATAAACAACCATCCTGTACTGAAGTTGATGCCATTGGTCTGTCTTACCTTAATGTCAGCCTATCATAGTAGCTGATTAATCCTGCATTGTAGAGGAAAAAGCAGTCCCAGTTTGACTACTAGTCTGTTTCCAAACTTTGCACATCATCAGGAAATGTATCTTCCTGGTCAAGCTAGCTCACATGTCAAAACAAATTCCTTTCTGAACCTAGCATTGTATCTTATTTACAGCTATAGTTTAACTCTGGCATCAAATCCACAACTAACAGCCTATTGGTCATTTTAACACACTGTTCACTTGCTCATTACTATTTTATTTAAACAGGGAATTAACTACTTTATACCAAGAAAAACTGTTCTCTTAAATTCTAAGCAGGCTTTTCATTAGGTACCTGCTCTAAGGCTTCCCTAAACCACCAGGTTAAGGGGGGAGCATGAAGAGTAGTATAGGTAAATAAGTACTAGGAGTGGAGGGAAAGCTTGGTGCTATGATTGGCACCAGGCTTGTCCATGCTTCTCTTGAATCTATGGAAAGGGGGGTTTTAACAGATTCAAATTATATCAACTTGGAAAAGTCATTCTTTTCAGTGGTGGGAGTTGGTACATGCTATGATGTTCCAGCAGCATGCATCTTAATGACTATGATCACCAGTCTTCACTTTCATGTGCTGTTTTTGAAAAGCTCAAACATGCTTGCAGAGAGTGGGTCAGGGTTCTTGTGTGACTGAACTAATGCCTTGGTTTTCTTAACATTCTTCTGTAAGACATACTACCATTTTCACTCTTGGATTGAAAAATTATACCTCTTTAAAGAGGCTAGATTTTTATACAATATATGCATATATAGGTAAGCAGTCCCTCTCTAATTTTTTGCACATTAGGGGTAGAATAAATGTAGCCTTTAAAAAGACAAACATGAGTGCATGCTTCCTATTATACTGTTTTTAATGGCAACTGAACTGCTCTGTTCCCCTCCATTTCAGTGTTATTGTTGTGACAACTCTGCTTAGGTGAATAGATATTCTAATCCTCTTGTAAAACTTGATTTGGAGCCTGTATGGTTGGAAAGCACAGCTTTGTTCACTGCATCTTTCTTCCCCCTTCTCCTTTAAAGCCCAATAATTTCCACATTTCCTGTCCCTTAATTAAGCTAGAATTCACAAAGCTGCACCAGTAAGCTAAACCTTTTCCTGAAGCACAAGCATATTGTACAAACAAGTGAGTTTTGCCCAGAACTAGAACCCCATTGCAGGTTTTTCCTTTTTAAAAAAATGGTTCATTGAGATATGGGGGCGGGGAGGAGAGGAGAGAACTGCTTTTTTTTACCTACGTTTTAAAGTTATTGGAGCAAAATTGAAGTCTCATTTTTGCTGTATTTCTATTCTTGTATGTATTTCCATGTCTATTTCACCCTCTTTTTATGCCACCCTCTTTTTATGCTATCTAGCAAAGCAGTTGAGATTAGTTTTGTCTTGTTACAGTACAGATCCTTTCCTATACTTCCTACTTTTGTCCTGGGTGTTATAGGATAGGTTTCTTCAGACGGTAGTATTTAATTTTTTACAAAACATGGTTAAACTGATAGTAGTTTAATAAAATATTAGCAAATACTATGGGCTGTCTTTTTTTTTTTAGTTTAAATCATGTTCTTAATGAACTAGACACTGCACTTTTAGCTCCAGCAGGCATATTCTTCCAGTAATTCTATTTATATAAACTAGGGGATAAAGCCTATGCGTAGATTTAATAGGAATCAAACTCTGCCACTCCAGACCCTTAATACTTAGAGTAGTTTCTCAAAGCTTTTTAACTTTAATTGATGGAATTAGTAGTACTTACAAATGTACTATAATTCAGTAATACATGCAACAATTCAAGTTTACTTTCATTGTTTTTCTACTTAAATGCTGACACTTCTAAATGTTTCATTTATTGAAATATACATTATATAAAATATACACAACCCCCTGCATTTCAGAAATGGGTGAAGGAAAAGCAAAATTGATCTACAAAAATACATTCAGTACCTTAATATACAGTATCTCATTTCAATATCTATACAATTGACAAACATGATAACTAACGTGTAGCTCTCTTCTTTTTTCTTTTTTTGTTAAATGCTTTCTTACTTGAGGAATTTTCCTGTTTGGCATTGGTGTGAGTTCTGTGAAGAAACAATATTTTAACCTAAAATGAGGCAGGTTAATAAATCACTGAGGGGCTAGACTTATGTTCCTTAACTACCATCCCACCTTACAGGTTTAAGATCTCAGCTCTATACATGACCAAGCTACCACAATGCTATCCTGTTTTAATTGTAACAGGGTTTAAAGAAACACCCATCCAAATTGAAAATAGCTTCAATGTCACAAGTTCACATTTAACAAAACTAGTCAGTCTTCTGAAAAGGTAGCCTACTATCAGATCCATGAAACTATTAAGGTAAAGAAGGGAATAAACCTAAAGTGTAAAACAACACAGGCTCCTATTACATTAGTGGGTAGAGTTAGGAAATATGGACTATATCCTATTCACTAGGCAGAATCTAGTGCAGCACCCCTGTGCAGTAGAGTAGGTAGTTGTAATCCTCCTTTTTGCTACAGTGGGATAAGTCAGAGCACCCAAATATCCTCTAAATTTCACCAGTAGGGGCACTTCCATGGGCACTGCTTTGAAGTACCGATCAGCCCAAACCCTGGCTGCTTTCATTGTACCCTCTATGCACAAGGGGACAGGGAGATAGATTGGATCTGCTGATTCAGGGCAAATGTCTTTTTATTTGGTTTGTGCTAGAGTAATGGGGTTCTCGCTCATAAGGGCTCACATGCACTACCATAATACAAATAAATACACTGCCCAAAGACTCTCCAACATAATCCAGGACAAACTAGGGACTTAATTATCTGAGTACTTGTATTAGGACAGTGGTTCCCAAACTTTTCAGGATCATGCCCCCGTTTTGATTTTTGAAAAACCCTCATGCACCCCCCCCACCAACAGCAAATCTAGTGGGGGGGGGGAGGGGGAGAAGCTAATCGGGGCAGCAAAACATAATGGGGCTGGGCTGCCTTGCACCCCCCTCCTGGAATTTCTTCACACACCCCAGTTTGGGAACCGATGTACTAGGAGGAATGTATTCTTGACAAGCGTAGGCACAAGGAAATATACTACACTTGAGGACATTCCTTGTCTCAATAACACTATGCAGTTTTAAAGATTTCTTCCCCTTTAAACTACACCTTTGTAATTACCGTGTTTTCTTTGATGTCTTCTCTGGTTCCAGAATGACAACTCCCTCCTCTTCACTGTCAGAGAGTACAATTGGATCATCTTACAAACAAGAGAAAACTGTTATATTACCAAAGCATTATATTACACTCTCAGAAATCTGTATGAAATATTACCATATGCCTAGAGAAGTTTTAAAAGCAGGGTGACATTTTTGTAACTAGTGTGCAGCTCACTGCAATCACCCTTTGAGTATAATAATTTTAAAACTGATACTTTACTTAGGTATTCTAAACAGAACACACTTATAGTGTGGCAAAGTTTGATTTAGGATCCTGCCGCCTCTGCCACATTTCTAAATACAGTAAAAGTCCATTGGTCCAGCATCCAATGCTCTGTCACTCCTGATGGTCCGGCACCATCAGGAACCCGGAAGTGCTCCAGCTGCCAAACAATTGGAGCTGCTCTGTGCCCGGCCTCCCCGATTCAGCCGCTGCTGAAACTGACCCCATGCTGCTGCCTCTGATACAGTGGCTAAAAGGGCCCCGCCCC